TTCTATTGATAAATTTACAGTTTAAAAATAAAGTTCTAATAATCCTTGTATTCCCCTTATTTATTTTATTATATTTTGTTATTTTAACTTTTTTATTTCATGTTTTAAGTTTTCATATATAGAAATTATTAATATCGTCAAAACATTTTTCTTATGTTAATTTTTTTGTTAATTTATTATTTTGTTCCACATGCTTTTGCAATCATTTGCAGATTGTTCCAATTGATAAACTGGTGAAAGGCAGGTTCCAAGACAACTTTGAATTTTTACAATGGTTCAAGAAATTTTTCGATGCAAACTACTCCAGAACAGAGCCATACGATGCACTTGCTATGAGAGGAGGAGAAGCCATGGGTAGTGGTGGAAATAATGCACCGCATGGCACTAATGCAAAACGCACCACACCACGTGATGTAAATTCGACTAAACCGGCCGCTCGTATTGGTACATTATTTCACAACTTTTTTCTTTTGTATCATTTGAAGTTGCGTTGTTAAAAATAACGCGAACATTTGCCAAAAATAATTTATTTTTAAGAATAATGAGAAAATTAACATATTGATTCCCTTCTAATTTACAATCAACATGGCCTGGTTTTGCTTAATTGAAAATAACAATTAAAAAATATATATAATTGCCAAAAGATACGATATATAGTCAAATATTTACTTATTTTTTTGTATACGAATATTTTCATAATTCAAATTGCAAACATGAAAAGACAATGGGCTTGTGTGTCCTAATAACACGAGAAAAATATTTCGCTTCAGGTGAGGATCCTTCGCCTCCTGTACCTACAGCTAACGTCAAGTCTAGTAATTATTTTTTTTTTGTCTTCAATATTTTTATGCTCGTTTCTTTTATTTCTTTAGGTTTTGGAGGGTTTAAAAAAGGGTATCTTACCCAACAAACTTGTTTTAGAATTCTGACGTTTCTTGGGAGTAGTTTAAGAAGTAGTTTAAATTTAATAAAAAAAAAAAAGGGAAGATTTATAATTTTGGTTGTCCATCCTTCATTTAACTGTTTAAGAAATCATGTAGATATTGCTTTATTTATTTGCTAATCATAAATACTGTGAATAATCATCTTAATGCATGCTCTTTATCTTGTTTTATTGTACAGTTCACTGTATAGATTATGCTTCTATTATTTATATTTAGTATAGTTACACTGCTTGTTGTAAGGACATCCACACAGTATTATTTTAATATTAAAGTAGATTTGTTATTAAGTGTATATAATTCTTTTGTGATTCATAATATCTTTGTAAATACGATGAATGTCATGTTGCATCTGTAGAGATTATTATGAATAAAAACGACAAGTGACTTAAAAAATAATGTATCAATTTTCGCATCTAGTTAACAAAGCTCCGGCTCATCGTCCGCAAGCGAAAACAGGCGTGGGAAATCGTGTCGAATCTGGAAAAGTTGAAGAACTTAGTGCCCAGGTATGCGGCAAACCATAAATATTATAATTCATATATTATATAATATTTAATATACTTCTATTATATATAATATATTATATATTATTATTTATAATCATAATACTATTTATAATAATTTCTCATAGTTGATGGAATTAAAAATGTCGTTGGATGGGCTGGAGAAAGAAAGAGATTTCTACTTCGGGAAATTACGTGATATCGAAGTTATGTGCCAAGATTGTGATAACGGAGATCCTCCCCCAATAGTACAGAAAATCTTAGAAGTCCTTTATGCAACAGAGGTATACTTCATACTTCAATGACACATATACATATAACTGATATCATGTTATAAAATTACATTATGTTACGTTGTTGCTATTTCTTTGATTATGCAGGAAGGGTTTGCACCACCGGAAGAACTGGAAGGAGACGGTCTTGCGCCAGATGACGAAGAAGAATATTAACTTCACTTTTTTTTGTACAATCACTATAAAAAGTACGACAGCAAATTGTCCAAGTGCGTTTCAGTTTATTATCTATTTGTGAGCCAGTATCAGTACCCTTCGCATAATTGATAAGCTACTTTGTATAGCTATTTAAGCATTTCCGCCTTTTCATTTTCGTTACAAACGTTTTCACCGAGAGTTCATTAAAAGATTTGCACGTATAATTAGGGTAGGAAAGTACATTAAATAAATGCACTTGAATAACTTGTACTCTACGACAAGTAATTATTAAGGGTCAAAGAAAAGAAAAAACAGAATTAGCAGTTCATCTATTGTCATAGTTCTTTATCGTAATAAAAATAACGGTAGAGCTTTGAACATCGATAAGTCTTAAAATATGAAGAGGAAAAAAAAGAAAATAAGGGAAAAATATTTTTGGATGCAGATACTCGACGACTATCTGAATCCAGTTTGTTATACAGTAATTTTATGTTAACTATGTTCAATAACGTGTGAGTGTTTTTGTTTGTAAATGCACTACTGTTTTTATCGATAAATAGGTGAAATCTCGTCGGTTTGTCCTTTTCGTACATTGTTGTAGTTCTTTGAAAACCGTATTTTATGAGCGCATAATCTATAGTGTAACTGTTTCAAACCTGTTTACCTTGTGCAATTGCGACACAATGCGTATGATACAATCGATTATTTGTTAACAATTGAAACCATTAATTTTTCACCGATCATAGATGTGAAATACGATATATGATATAATATGTCGAAACTGATTCTTGAAACGCATTAAATTGAATTCCCCAAATTTTATACACACCTTTCGTTTTTTCTTTTCTTTCTTTCTTGTTTTTTTTTTTTTTTTTTTAATTAATGGAAGATCATAGTTTATGCTATCATTGTATAATTTATAAACTCATAGACACGATTGCGATCTAAAATCTAAAAAAAAAAAAAAAAAAGAAAAAGAAAACTGAACGAAACACGAATAACACATGTTTCTTGAGAAATAGTATGATTACAAGTAAAAACGACGATGATATTCACTTCTGTTTCCAGCTAATTGAATTTTGGAGATGCGAACGATCGTTCGATTTGGAAATTGGATTGACTGTCTGGTTTTGCAGAAATATTTATTTCACGCGAGTAAGACACGACAATCGTTTTCGCATCTCCACGATCCGTCTTTCAGAACGAGAATGGCCTTAAAAAACCAGCGATAAACTTGAGATTACAGAGGAAATACTCGAATTATTAGAGAGCAAACGCAAAGTGTATCTCCGAGCAGTACGACATAATTGATAAACGAATTACGTTGCAAGTACGAGGAAACGCTTGGCTTCTGAGAGAAAAAATAAAAAGATAAAACACAAGCAAAAAAAAAAACAGGAATTAAAAAGAAAAGCTAATGAAGAAAATTTGTAAAATTATATGGTCAGAAAGGGATTGAGTGAGAGGAAACGAGTGAAAGGGAAAATCAAGCACGTAAGCGAAAACTATGCGAATAATTTGCTACGTGCCATGGTATGGCTGGGTAATACGTATGTCTTTTGAAGTCGTCAGGTTCAAAATCCATCGTACAGAAACGACAAATTATGCATTCGACATATTTTAGTTTTCTCTTAAGAATTAATCGAATATAAATCTTAAGATACGCGTCGATCATTGTTACTATCGTTTCTATTAGGATAATAATGCTCGTGTTAATTACATGTAACGACTATAAAAAAAGACGAAAGATACACGACGCACTTTAACTTGCGCTAAGGTTTATTGCTCTATGTGTGCGTATATAGCGAGCCATTGCGAGAATGTGCTTCAAAATTTGAAATTTTAATGGTGAGGTAATAAACGTTTAATAGGATTCAACATTGCATGGTTTCCTTTTTTTTAATCTTTGAGTACGAGGATTGAAATTTTCACATATTAAGATTTCATATTAAAGTAGAAAATATTAAAAAAATATTTCTTGATACTACTTTTCGATTGTTTATCATTTACAATATAATATGTGTCATATATTGCTTTTTTAAAAATATTTGACATCACATATATTGAGAATTTATTTGGGTCAATTTGTGATGTTTCAAATTCTACATTGTCGTATTGTTGCTGTAGTATATATATATGTATATCATAGATCTAAGTGTTTTTAATTTATTGCAGTTAATCATGCTGCTTCATTTGTTAGTATTTCAATTTTTCTTGTGCCCTTATAAGTCTGATTTTATCAATATCTATACCATTAAAATTTTAGTGTATCAGGAGAAATGGGAGTATTTTATAAGGTAGATAACGAACTACGCGTAAAAGAATTAAGAATTACGAATACGTCGATAAGTTTTTTGACATAACTTTTTATCTCTATGTTCGAAATGCTAATTTTTTTTAATTTCATCCATCGTGAAAAAATAAATTAATGTGTAATCCATATGTACAAATTTTAAAATGCCATATAATAAATGAGAATTGCAATTTTGCTAGCAAATTGCGGTTGCAACGACTGTTTCAATTGTGCTAATAAATAAAATGAAAAATATCTTTAATTATCTTTTTCTCTAAATTATTCAGAATGATACGAAGAAGCTGTGTAATCCGCAAGATTTTTTAGAAAAACCTGCATCATATAATAAATTTATTCCATAATATCTTAGTTTGTAAATCATATTTCTCTGATTCATTTTTTATTTCACTTCTTTGTCATATGCCACGCAGAAAAATATCATTTAAAAAGAAATAGATACATGTTATTCAGTGAGTCGCAGAAGTATTCGTACCCTCGCAATTATTGAATTCATACGATTGATATTCTTCAACGATATATACACTAATGCCCATCAATGAGAATACATATCTACGAATATAATTAAGCTTTTCATTAACGTATCGCTTATTGAAAAATAGCAGTTCCTTATAATATTTCAAGAGAGATTAAACGAAACATCGTGAATTCGATAATTATAAAACTACGAATACTTCTGTAATTCACTGCACAACACCATCAAATCACAAACTCCCCTCAACAAAATCCACCAAGCAATAATTCAACACAACAACAACAATAACAATTTTATTTCCATTCATCCATATTGCATCATAGTATCAAGAACGAAACGAAGTTGCCTCGTTTCTGCCGCTCAAGTCCACGGAGCAACGATCGAGAAGAACCGATCCTCTGGCGTTGCTGAACGTGCGTGATCACGAAGAAACTACGGAGATACGGTAGCGGCCAAAGATTCGCCGAGCGACGATCCTCCATCACCAGTTGTTCGAGTGAACCGTTTGCATAGACTTCGATCGCGTGTGTCGCGTTTTACGTCGTGCTGACTACGAAGACCGTCCATAGGGAATCGCCTGGTGGCGCGGAAAGGCGAAGGAAGTTCCTCAAGAGGAACCCAGCCGGTATCCGGCGTTCGATCAACGCCATCTCTAACTATACTTAGGTGAGAATGGAACGAAGGAGAGCAACGAAACAAAAACGACGAAGACGATGCTTCTTCGTTTTGGTGTTTTAAGTTTTGTTTGTTTCTCTCACGATTGGTGAATTTTTCTCACGGTTGCTCGCGACGGGAAGAGAAACAAGGTCACGTAATCTGATTTTTATGCGGTTCGCGGTTTTCGCGCCAGTCGC